TATTACTGCCTGCAGCAGTAGTAATGTGGGTGCATTCCATTGTGTGACCAGGGTTCAATCAGGTACCATGGAAGACCAACCATGGGAAATTAGTAAGGTCGGAATTCTCATGTCAAGGAACATACCAACCACCACTTAACTGCATGGCAATGAGAACCAGTAAAGGCACTGTAACCCTCAAGCATGCTGCCAACAGACAGACACACATTTTAAAATATGCAAAGCTTGCTCATTCCTTGCCTTCAACCACACTGATGTCACCAGAGCACAGACGTCACCTAATGAACATCAACCCCCAATTCAGGCTCATTACTAGATCATTGTTAAAATTACAGGTTTTATGAGCTTTTTGTATCTGGTTCAGCCCCGGCTATAAGCATTCCAGGCTTAGGAAGGGGAAGGGCCCCTCTTTCCCAGACTTTGATGTAATCCAGGGCAGATGGAGTCCTGTGGAAAGAAACTCAGTGAAAAACAAGGCTTCTGTCTCTGGGGGAGGGGGGGTATGCAGACCAGGATGTGTGTGTGTGTGTGTGTGTGTGTGTGTGTGTGTGTGTGTGTGAGGGGATAACACTCAGAGGCCAGAGATGCCCATAACAGCAACAGGTTCTCAGTCTGTTTTCCTCCCAAACTGGGCTCTCCAATCAGAACTAGTTCTCTGTTTGCATTCTATCTCCTTGGCACATTCTCTGCTTAAAAGGCAGGTGGGCCGTGTGGCTTTCCACTTGCCCCAGGTCAAGCCCAAGTGCAAGGCCATGTGACCAAACACCGTGAACTTCAGTCATGTAGGGACTGAGTGGGGAGATGGTTGGCAATTAAGCAGAGGTGCCCTTTTAGGGGACCCTGCCACTAGATCCACAAAAGCAGCTTCCACTGCTGTTTCCCTGGGGGACATCAGAGACTGAGTATGTGCAAAATACAAAACAGAAAACCCATACCTTTGAGTTTTGTTATTGTTGTGTGTGTGTGTGTGTTTGCTTTTTGAGATGAGGTTTCTCTACGTAGCCCTGGCTGGCTGTCCTAGAACTCACTATGTAGACCAGTCTGGCCTCAAACTCACAGAGATCTGCCTGCCTCAGACTCCCAAGTGGCAGGATTAAAGGCATGCACCTTTCTACCTAAAAGGTTGATTTGCACTTTGGGTATTTTTTAAAATTGAATTAGCAGCCTTTTCTGGATTCCCGGGATCTACTCTCAGTGATCTGCATGTCGTATGCCTCTTGGTTGTGCGTGGTCTTATCTTCTAGTAAGAGCCTCCGCCGTGTCTGCTCTGGGGTCTGCTGGTCTTTGAGGACCCCGGGATCGCAATGACTACTTCACACAGCTTAGCTCAGTGAGCTTTCGCCATGTAGACATCTGGAATGTTCCCCTTTATCAAGCAGGGACAGACCGTAGCTACAGGCCTCCAGCATCCTTTGTTAGTCCCATGACAAACACTTGGAAGACACTGTTGGAGGGAGGAGGTTTATGTTAGCTGCTGGTTTCTGACGTTTCTATCCATGGCCGGCTGAATGGCTTGTGTTAAAGGTGAGGCAGACTATCAGAGCAGGGGGAGTGTGTGGCAGAACCGCTCACTCCATGGTGGCCAGGAAGCATGAAGAAGCAGACAGAAGGACAGGGCAAGCTGTGTCTTTCGAAGACGGACCGCCACCCCCTCGTTGACCCGCTTCCTCCAACTAACTAAGCTCTGCCCTCCTAAGTCTCAGTTTCTCAATATTCTGTTCAAACTTTGAATCCATCAGGAGATGGATGAGAGCATTGACAAGGACAGCCCTGAGCCTCCCCCTTCCACTCAGGAGTACCTCCTTTTCCCTATTAGGACCCATGGCACTTCCCACGTACCTAATTCCCCAGTAGGCCATCTTGCTCAGTCACACACCCAACATCAACACTCATCCTGAAAACCCTGGCTGTCCAAAGGGTTTGAGTTGAACTCAATTGACTCTCCTCTCCGCACGAGTCACCACGTAGAGGAGCGCTCCTCCTTGGCCCCCTTTATCACAGACATGAATCCTAATACCATTTGCTCTGCATGACCAGCACCCAGGGCATCCCGGAAACGCATATTTTGGGTTGAAACGTGTCTGTAGGTTCGTAGCCTGGGTGGCTCAGTCTACCTCTCCTGCTAGGCCCCCTTACTCGGGTCCTGTGGTGTTGTGCAGGCCGGTGCATACTCACTGACTAGCCTCTGCCCGCTTCTGAAGGTTCTGGACTCTAGGAGTCACTTCTGCTGGTAAAGTCCCCACACTCGGCCTAAAATACAGGAATGGCCTCTCGTTGGGTACAGATGCCAAGTGGGCGTTTGTCACCTGTGCAGCTAGGTGGGTATGGGCAAGAGGACAGAGGTGCTTGTTGCTTAGCAACCCACAGCCTGCTCTCCTCACAAAGGGAGGGCCTTCCCTACCTCAGAGAAGACTGGCCGCCAGGACCCCAGCAGGTGAGCGGTGAGCGCCAGAGGGGCCGCCTTATTTGTACCCTGGGGACTCCAGTGCCACCGCCCGGGGGCTCTGAGTCCTCCCTGTCACAAGGACGGCTACAGCCTCCTCTGGAGGTGGGAGTTCTCTTCCCGGGATCTCCCAGTGCTGTGGGCTGGGGGAACCGTCAAAGGATTGGTTCACAAAGGCAGAGGGGTTTCTAGAATAATCCTTAATATTCTGCTAGCTCCAGCGATGCTGGCCACACCCCTCCCTCAGCTAAGGTGGTTGTTAATGACTCCCAGTGTCCATGACAGGGGCCTGAGCACTGCCTCGGTGGTGAATCTCAATGGGAAATACTTCTTTCCGGGCCAACAAACCCTCTGATCAGGCCGCTGAGTTGCCAGCCTTGCTGACTGTTGATTAACTGTTCATGTATTTCAGGTGCAATAAGTCATCCCCAGGATGCTGGCTGAACTCTGCCAGGAAAATGCTGTGGGATGTTGTTCTGTATGCTGTGAAAATGTGTTACTATGATTGATGGATAAGTAAAACGCTGATGGGCCAGTAGCCAGGCAGGAAGTATAGGATAGGCAGGATAAGCAGAGAGGAGAATTCTGGGAAGTGGAAGGCTGAGGCAGGAGACGCTGCCAGCCGCCACCATGAGGAAGCATGATGTAAGATACCAGTAAGCCATTTAGATAGCAAGAAGGCTGCCATGGCCATTCAGTTTATAAGTAATATAAGTCTCTGTGTGTTTGCTTGGGTCCGAGCAGCTGCAGGACTGGCTGGTGAGAGAGATTTGTCCTGACCTTGGGCCAGGCAGGACCAAGAAAACTTCAGCTACAGGCAAAACATTAAGCCAGGGCTGGTGGCATGCAACCCACAAGGCATTTTTCTTTCTTGATTTTGAATTCCCTTCCAGCTCTAGATGCCGGTAAATTCTGTAAAAAAATGAAGTTTAATGAAGTTTGTGCTCTTTATGAGCATAAACAGGAAGCTGGGTCTGACATGTATTGTTTGGATAGTATATCCAGTCCAGGAGGTAGCAGAGGAAGGCAGTTTCTGGGCCTGGATTAGCTATTTTAGGGACTTGGAAATCCTAAATTTATTCAGCAGTTTTTAATTTTCTCCTCCATTTGAGAAGATAAGCTTCTAGAATCTGGGTTCACTCTGTGCTTGAACATCCAGGCTGAGGGAGAGGGGCCACCCAGGCTAGCGGCCATTGCCAAGAGCATTTGAACACAGACACACATCTTCTGAGCATCGCATTTTCTCAGTCACCAGACTGCCTGGCTGGGAGCCGGGTGTCTCTAGATTCCTGCTGGGTTTCCTTCTGGCTCAGTTCTCTCCTGGGCTGAGTGCCCACATGACCTCATGGAAAGGCTTGAGAGAATTTGGTACCCCAGTAACAGCCACACTGAGTCTGGACTTGTGGCTACTGAGCAGCTCCAGAAAAGCATTGGCTTGTCCCATGGCAGGTCCAGGGTCACCTCTGCCTAGGCTGCTTGGGAAGGAGGCAGTACAATCGTGGTGTACATCGCTGTGGCCCAGATCCACCCCTAGTATGTATGGTCTTCTGAACTTTTATAGCTAAGTTTTCCTGTGCAAGAAACAGAATTCCCAGTCCCACCAGGGCTCCAAGGACCCCTCCCCACCATCTCCCCAAAGATAAGAACTCCTTGGCCCCCTATGTTAATTACATGTGTCTCTCCCTTTATTAACGATTACAAAATGATCATGTTTGTTTTAAGTCAGTCAACAGCCCTGAAGTCCCAAGGACAATACACAAAAGTCCTTTCTCTACAGTCCCCATCATCCCCAACCCGCAGGCACTGTGCCTATAGTGAGCTTGGTCACCTGGTTGGGAAGACTGTTGGGGACAGAGATGCTTTCATGTCTCATACAGCACAATAGACAGTAAATGCTCTCCGTTCCGTCATCCACACGGAGCAGTCTTGGGCTTATGCAGGCCATCAGCCTCACTCCTCCTCCAACCACACACAGAGGCACGAGAACTGCCCCGAGCAGTCCTGGTCAGAGCTCGGTCAGTAACTGGGTCCTGATTTTCTTTCTCTCCCTGATCTGTTTCCCTGGTTCCTCTCATTCCTCCTGACCCTCATAACCCTACAAGGTCTGAGGATGCAGACCCCCGAGTTCCGCTTTCCTCCACTCCACCACGCAGAGCTGGGCTCTTTCTGTGTGTGATCTGTCACCTCTGTGATGGGAACATCCATCATCATCATCATCTCTTCTGTGAATTCCAGTCTCACTCTCTATTGATAATGTCCATGCAAAAAAAAAAAATATTGAGTGTCAGCAACTTATCAATTAACACGTCCAGTGCCAGGACGTTGGTATTTTACCTGAGTCAGACCCTCTCTGGGTAAGGAAGCGACAGCTCTATTCTTGGTTAGGTCAGCCTTCTGGGGATCTTGGCTCTCTTTCTCATCATCACATCCTGCAGAGTGTACACCCCAGATCTAACCACTTCTTACCTTCATCCCATAGGGTAGGCACTGCACTCATTAATGCTCCCACGGGGCCTTCCGGACCATCCTTCCCTTACCCTGGTATGGTGATATTTTATTTGTATTAAAATGTTATTTGTATGTTAATAAAGTTGCCCGGGGGTCAGAGCTATTAGCAAGCCATAGGAAAGCAGGGCAGTGGTGGCGTACGCTTGTAATTCCAGCACTTGGTAGGCAGAGCTGGGTAAGTCTCTGTGTGTTCAGGGATACAGCCATTATTGGATACACATGCCTTTAATCTTAATACCAACCATGGAAAACCTGGAGGCCTATACAGACAGGCTGTGAGGAGGCGGTCATGTGGTTGGGTTTACAACCAATGAGAAGGCAGGACAGGAACTCTATATAAAGACTTTAACACAGGGGTAGCTCTGGTTCGGAGAGGTAGGACCACCGCAGGAGGAAGGGTAAGGTTTTAGCTCTTAGCTCTGACCTCTTGGCTTTCTTCTTTGCATTGGTTTTGTGTTTCTTATTTAATAAGAAGGTTGGATACATCTACAAAGCTGGTGCTGACCCTCTTGTTGTGTTTCCTGTCTTATTGCTTAGTGACACCAGTTGCCCACGGACTCATTTCACACTGTGGAAAAGAGCAGTTTCTCCAGAGTGGAATATTATTGCTTTGCCCGGCTTTGCTGGCCGTGTCTAAGACCACTTGTCAGGTGAAGGAATGAAGCTCCTAATCTGTTCATGTGGTGCAGTCCTGTGTGGCATGTGAGCCTGTTCTGCATTCTCTGCATTAAGGATGAACTAGGAGCAAACAAGGCTGATGTCTCAGATGAGAGGCCCAGACGGGAAGACCTTCCTAAGCAAGAACAGCAGCGGGCGCTGGGGTTCTCATCAGCAGAGGATGAGGTCCAGGTCTCCACGTCCGCTGTCAATGACCCCAAACCTGCTCCTCTTGAGGATGCTGTGCCTTTCTCAGGATGTTGCACAGTGACTCAGGGCGTGGGGATTGTGCATGCATGAAGCGCCTTAGGCTGCAGGGACACGTGTGCATAGTACGGGTAGATCTTCCCAGCTTCCTATCTTAAAAATGTCCCCACCTCTGTCACTGACGCTCTCAGGGCACTAGCTGGGGATGAGGAAAGCTCACTGGAAGACAGAAAGTATTACTCTCTAAGGAATACTGTATTCTGTGTGGGAATACTAAGACATACAGACAATCCACAATCTTAGGCCAGGTTAGCCCACCCACACAGATGAGATATTTGATAGCAAGTCACCCAGTGCATTCATCAGGTAGTGCCTATGGTAGTTCCTCCCAGCCACTCCTGAAAAATAAAATAAAATTAGTACTGCTTGTGGCTCTGTCTCAGACCCATACCAGAGGACTCTACCATGATGGGGACCTGCTGGCAGCTCTGTGGTCTCCTCAGGTTTACACATATGCATTTCCTGCCTTCCTCTTTGTATTGGGGTCCTCAGGGGGTACATCTAAATCAAGTTCACCTCACACCTGTTCCCACGCAAGACTTGTCTACACAATCCTGAGCCTCCAAGCTAGAGGGGATGCGAGTGTCCTTTGCCCTGTTGAATGCCTTCTACATGAATTTGACCTCTTCAGAAATGGCCAAATTCCACATGGTGGTAAAAGAAGAGAAGGAAGACACGTCAAAATCACATGGGAGTCTGGGCAAAGGTGCCAGGGACTCAGAGAAAAAAGTGTGTGTGGAAAAAAGGCAGTTGTCACTGATAGAGCTGTTCAGGGTGAGGAAGAGTGAAGAGAAGCCGCTGGGATGATGAATGTGGATGGTGGCTGTAGTGGACGGTGGCTGTAGCGGACGGTGGCTGTAGGACTATATATGATCACGTGTGGTATGTGACACTCGTGCCAGGTCTGATTCCACCATGGCCATAGCATGAGCACCTGGCAGGTACTATGCATGAATTATGTTTGACTTCACCACAGTGATAGTTGAGCATCAAGCACACCATTTGCAATCCTTCCAATGGCCTCTAACACGCACAATCCCTGACATGGCAAGCCCGTGTGTGTGTGTGTGTGTGTGTGTGTGTGTGTGTGTGTGTGTGTGTGTGTGTGTGTGTTTAGGCTAAAGGTTGACATTAGGTGACCCCAGTTGCTGTTAACCTTAGTTCCTAAGACAAGATTTTCACTGAACCAGGAGCTCCTCGGTCTGGCCAGCCAATGAGCCCCATGGATCTTTCTGCCTCTGCCCCGCCAGTCAGTGCTAGCATTCCAAGTACACATTACCATTACTACCACCACCACCCCCCTTTTATAACATGTGTGTCAAGGGTTCCGACTGGTGTCCTCATGCTTGGTCTGGAAAGCTCTTTACTGACGGCCATTTCCCTGGCCCTGTACATAGTCACCGCTTTGGTTCTGTAGTACTAGGGACTGAACTTGTGCATGCTAAGCAGGCACGCCAGCACTAGGCTACATTCCCAGTCCTTGGCACATACTCTTGATCTCTGTGAGTAGAAAAATGGACGGGAATTTGTCCAATTGAAGAAAATAAGTAGAAAATACACATGATCGTCCACGTATTGCTGAAACAATCATGAATGTCTGAGTCTATCTACTGAATGTTGCTACAGGGAACTGCTCTGCTGATCCAGGCTGAGTCTCTGGCCATGGCGTGGCTGCACTCACACTTCTGTCTTCATTTCTTCTTTTTCTGCCTGGCTTTTGTCTTCTGTAGCCACGGACTTGTTAGTAGTCTTGGGTTCCAGGTACTCAACAATCCCGTAAGCCATCATGGTCACAATCAAGACGCCCAAGAGAATGCAGAGCTTGGTGCTCACACACAGAAACGAGCTGTACCCGAAGGCGATGACATACCCTAGGGATTCCCCAAGGCGGTAGTTGGCAAAAGCAGCTTCTTTGTTCTTCTCAAACAGGACACCGTAAAGAGCTGTGGAGCAGATGAGAGTGAAAACGCTGTGTAAGATACCAAACAAGACCCGGCGGGTTAAGTGCCTGTGTGCAAGCGTGGGAGCCTGAGCTCTGACTCCCAGTACCCACAGAAAATGCCAGGCACTGGCCTATAACTCTAGTGCTGGGAGACAGGAGGGAGGAATTCCGAGGCTTACTAGTCAGCTGACTCAGCTGAATCAAGGAGAGACTCTGAAAAAATAAGATGGAGGGTGACTAAGACAATGCTGACCTCTGGCCGCCACATGCACACATGTACATACATACACATGCACACACATGCACACACATGCACACACACACACACACACACACACACACACACACACACACACACCACCCATAGACACCCACAGATGTACACAAAGACCTCAGACTCGGTCCATTAAATTAATCCTGAACATAGAGAGGCCTCACCACTGCCAGTTTTCTTGAAAAAAATAATCTGGATATTTTTTTTTTTTTTTCGTTTTTCGAGACAGGGTTTCTCTGTGTAGCTTTGCGCCTTTCCTGGGACTCGCTTGGTAGCCCAGGCTAGCCTCGAACTCACAGAGATCCACCTGGCTCTGCCTCCCGAGTGCTGGGATTAAAGGCGTGCGCCACCACCGCCCGGCCTAATCTGGATATTTTTATTCTTCTTAAAAAAAAAAAAAAGCACAGAATTATGCTGATAAATCAGGTGATGTCCTCTGGCAGTGGGCAGCACAGGAGAGGGAACATGGGAGCCCCAGAGCAGTAGCTGCTGGAGGGAGCCAGCCAGTCCTCACTCTAAGGATGAAGGAAAGCAAAGAGTTCAGTGTGTGTTGTGTGGAGTTTGTGACCCCTGGGGAAAGACCATAGATTCAACCCAATTATAATGAAAGGATTTATTAACTAGCTTCTAGCAGGATAAACAATCTCTGAGCCAAATTCGAGATTCCCGTGAGAAGAGTTGAGAGAAGAATTTTTACAGAGGAGAAGCACAAGACCTCCCAGAGCTGTGCAAGCTAGCAAAAGCTGGTCTGTTCCGCCAAGCAACGCGGCTAAGGTCACTCAAAACAATCTTTGGGTGCCTGCAGAAGCAAAGAAGCAGTTAGTCTTATAACAAGTAGATAGTCACGGCTACTTTTGTACATTTTTGGGAGGGGGTTACTGAGTCAGGGTTATTGGGAATTTATCTTCCAGGAACTGGAGTCAGAGACAAATGGCTGGTGGGTACCAAGATGCATGCCTGGCATAAAATGGAGTTGCTTTAGCCAGTATAAGATGAGGTGGAGCTTGTCTCCCATCCCTAGAACCAAAGGGTAATGAGTTACATTCATGGAAGCCATATTTGTCCTTTCAAGGGTATGCCACTATCATTTGGGCAGTAGTAGTCTAGCAGGTGATGCCCACTGCTCAGTGCTTAGAGGTGGAGTCAATGCCACTCGGAAGTTCCCAAACTTTTATTACTAGCTCTGTGACTTCTATTTTTATTTTGTTTTGTTTTGTTTTTTGTTTTTATTTAAGACAGGGCTTCTTTGTATGGCCTTGGCTGTCCTAAAACTTGTTTTGTAGACCAGGCTGACCTTGAACTCACAGAGATCTGCTTGCTCCTGCCTCCCGAGTGCTGGGATTAAAGGCAAGTGCCACCATGCCAGGCACAACTTCTCTTTTTTAATGTCCTCAGCAGTCTTGATTTTTTTTCATTTTAAATTGACACACAGCACCTATGTGTGTGTATGCATGTGTGTATTCCTGAGACCTCCTGAGTGGAAAAGCCTGGCAGAGAGATGCCAAGAGAATCCATGTTTGTCATAATCCCCAGCCAATGGTATTTTTTGTGGGTTACAGAAAACTCGAAATTTGCACAGCCTGATGCTTCTGAACAATTGAGTCCCTTTTGCTTCCAGTGCCGGGCAGGGCAATTTTGACAGATCTGGATGAGAGCAGGAAGAATCCCACTGCAGGACATGGCTGAGTGGCAGGTGCATCTGGGAGGGGATGGATGAGAAAAGAGCAGGCCCTGGTGGTTTTCTGTGGTCTGTCCACACCCCGGACTGCTGTGCCAGCTCTTACTCACACAATCTCTCCCTTCACAAGACCACCCTTAGCCCCTACACCGTCCCTAGAAATTCTGCTTGACTTCCCACCATGGACCAGGGTGGAGGACCCTAAGACAGAGGACCCAGGATAAATAAGGCCATGAGGGAAAGCCCTGGAATAGATGGGGTCCCCAAAATGAAGGATCTTGGGTAGAAAGGCCCAACATGGAGGATCCTAGGATGGAGGACCCAGGATAGAGATGTTCTATATGGAGGGCCCCAGGGATCAGTACCCAGGTATCAGCTCTAAGTCAGAACTCTAGAACTGATAACCAAGGCTGATCCATCTGGACCAGCAGAAGTGGCCCTGTCCCTTCCTCTCTGCCAACACAGTTCTATCAGAAGCTACGTTCCAGACAGCTGAGAAGCTAAGGATTTGGGTGCACAGCCTGAACTGCCTTTTCAGAAGAATCAGGGACCTGGGCAGAGCAACCACCTTCCCTTCAGGAACGCCTGTTAATCAAACCAGCCCTGAGGGAGAGGTGTCCACACCAGCTATCACTAGACAGAGAAGGGAGGGGATGAGATATCCATTTGTCCACTGGTAACAGCTAGACAGACAAGTGAAGGGAAGGCACATGAGAAAATAGGTGTCCATACTGGCAATACTATCCAGATGGATGGGTGAGGGGGCATGCCAAGCAGGTGACCACCCCTGTATTAACTACACAGTCATGGATGCCAAGTGCAGGGTGGCACCCAACACAGGGTCTCAGAGCAGGAAACGGAGGCTTATGGTAAACTGGGAAGTCCCAGGGCATCTGCCCTTTGTGAGCCACAGGGAACCCATGTCCTGATAGCAGCCAACTTCCCCTGGTTATAAAACTGGGGGACTGGACCCTGGCTCTGTGCAGACTTGGTCTCGTCTATGTAGCTTGTCTGGATACATAAGACTACTGTGAATTAACCTGTTTACTTACAAAGAAATTTGTTTTGCTCTCGGCATCAGCCTGACCTGTCTGCCTCATCCGTTCGGGGCACTCGAGGCTAACGGGACTCAGACGAGTCCTTAGTCTGAGGTGACAGGAGGAGCAAACAGGCGTCTCGTCTGTTGCGAAGACAGGTTAGGCAAACAGGGCACTCAGAAGTCAGAGTCTGTGCACCCGTGAACTGGAAAACGAGCCCCTTCAGCAGCTAATGGGGCAGACGGCATTCTCAGATGAGCGTTCCGTGTCTTGAATGCAGCACAGGGGCGTGTGAGGGTTGCTATAGCAACTGCACCCGCCCTCCTCCCTCAGCTGTCAGATTGGATAAGCGGCTAGGCACAGATTCACTGCTGGGAGGTTGAAACTCAGAAGCCCTCGGGGTACCCAGCCCCAGCCAGAGGAGCAAGTGCCTGAGTCCTACGACACACTACTAAACTAAGGAGTTTGAAAAATGGTGACTCAAACAGTGGGGGGCTGAGCTCACTCATTTCTATGAATTAGATGAGAACATACCACCACGTCTGTCCTTTGTGTGTCGATGTGCATGTGTGTACAGTCGGGGGCCAGAGGACGACACTGAGCATCCTGCCCTGTCACCCTCACCTTATCCCCTTAAGATAGTCAGAGAGTTTCTCCCATCCCTCCAAGCTCCCCCGCCCCCCTCCCACTCCACAGTCCCACAGCCTGCTTATAAAATAACCATTCAGAAGCTTATATTAATTATAACTGCTCGGCCATTAGCTCAGGCTTATTACTGACTAGTTCTTACACTTAAACTAACCCATAATTCTTATCTATGGTTAGCCATGTGGTTTGGTACCTTTTCTCAGTTCTGCCTTGTCATCCTGCTTCCTCTGTGCCTGGCTGGCGACTCCTGACTCTGCTCTTCCTCTTCCTAGAATTCTCCTTGTCTGCTTATCCCAACCTATACTTCCTGCCTGGCTACTGGCCAATCAGCATTTTATTTATCAACCAATCAGAGCAACACATATTCACAGCATACAGAACGCTATCCCACAGCAACGGGGTCTCTCACTATAACTGGAGCTTTCTGTTTCTCTACTAGACTGCCTGCCTGGCCAGCAAGTCTCAGCAATTCTCCTGCCTCGGTTCCCCAGCACTGGTTCCATCCTGAGGATCTAAACTGAGATCACCACATTGTTCACGCTCTGACCCACTCTGCCATCTCCCAAGCCCCACACAGCACTGCTCTTGAGGTATGGCCAAAGCTACATGCAATTTGTCGTGTCGAAAAGGGACAGACAACCATCTGGATGACGTGTGGGTGTGCTGTGCTGTGGGAAGCTGGGTGGAGCTAGCTGCAGGGACTCAGAACTAAAGCAACACTCCTCACTGGGGTGGCCACAAGCACACACTTTCGAAGAAACTGGTTTGTCTTTTAACAACAGCAAACACACTCTTACCTATACAAAGAAGGTTGAAATTGTTTCATTTTAAATTAGTGTCCCTTATTCAATGGAGTCATTGTTCAAGTCACTCACTGGACTTGAGTGCTCATGATATATAGATTGGGTCTTAGTTAATTTGAACAGTTTAACAAAGGTGCCTTTGTGAGTGGTTTGTGTCCATATAAAGAAAAGGAGAGTGAAAGTAATTATCTATATATTCCAGAGAGAAAGAAAACAAAATGTTTTTACTGTGAAAATTTTAAACCTCTGCAGTGCTGGAGGGTGGGATAAAGCAAGATGTCTGACTGGGTGCAGGATAAAGCAGGCTGTCTGTCCAGGTGCCTTCTTTGCTTTGGTAAATGCTTTTGAAAAGTCGGTGAGTTAAGAAGGTTGTCAGCATGCAGAGGATGGGACTCCATGAGTGTTTCAGTGAACTCTCGGGCCCTGATGCAATGTGGGGCTGGATGCAGTTTCTCTCTGGTGCTGGCTGGATAAACTGTCTAAGATCCCGAGCTGATCTGCCATGTCACTGGTTTATAATTCTGGACTTCCAAGGAAAGCTAAAGTGAGTTTCTGATTACCCTGCCCCCATCCTCCCCACAAACACACACACACACTGAACCCATATATTCCTAAGGAGTGCATTCCAGCCCATGAAAAGTCTAGCTGTTTGCTCCTAGTTACTGACTTTGGTCAAAAACAAACAAACAAAAAACTAGAGGAAGGCACCAGCCAAACACACACTTGTCATTTGGGCTCCACTAAAGCCAACTGAACTAGACCCCTATATCCAGCTGTTTGAGGTTTCTCTAAGGCATTTTTTTTCCATCTCTTGTAAACAGACATCACATGGGGATGACAGCCAGGACAGCTCTGGAGGGTGCGGTCCACCATCTGCAGCAACATGCTGTGATCTCATACAAATACAGACGAAGTGGCCAGGTCTCCCATCCCTGGAAACCCTGGCCTCAAGCTACTGTGGGTTTTCTTTAGCCAGTGTCTAAGCCTGAATGTGTCCTGAGTGTAGATGGAATGGCACTGTAGTGGGAAAGAGATAACTTAAGAACCATATCCATCTCAGGGCTCCCTCAGGCCTGGCTCACCCAGACCTTCCAGATTCCAGACACAGAGCCTGCCCTTTCCTGATTGTCAGCACAATCCAGGCCATTCGGTGTTTGTGGGAGACACAGGGCTGAGGGTTCTGACCTTGGCCTCATTACAACATAACCATCACCCAAATGCACATCCCGTCACTTATCCTGCGCCAATGTCAATATCCACACGGCATCCTGCGTTCTTCTCTGTGGGAGACTGGCTCCCACATTTATTTACCTCAGGGATTCTTGAGGAGTGAGGGATAAAAGATTTAGATAGAAATACAGAGGAGAGAGACAGAAATACAGGATAGCCTCGGGAGGGCCTGGGTCAAAACCCACCAGCCCCTTCTGTCTCTGCTAAAGGGCTTTGTAAGGAATGTCAAGGGGTAGAGCAAAGACCACCACCACCACCACCACCACCACCACCACCACCACCACCCGCCCAGTGCAGCCAAATGCAGACCATCGCAGTCACCTGGTAACCACGCAGGTGGTCAAGTCATCCCCTAATGCAGCTCTGCTGGATAAAGCAAGCTGAGATCTCACTAGGAAACCTCTGTGGGCTCCCACACTTCTCACCCTAGTGCCCTTCCTTTGAAAGTCCTGTGAGCTGCTCTCAGGGTAGACTCAAGAGCTTCCAACAGATCCAGTGCAAATACCCCGGCATTTCTGCCACTTTGCCAGACCACTGACTCTCTTGGAGTCTCCCTGGTGCAGCCCCTGGGCCTGGCGTCTCTATTCCACAGACCACTGGGACAGCGGCATTCCAGAGCTGTGCCGCCCTCCTGTCTAGCCCTGCCCCTCACTTGCTGGCCTTGCTGATCTCCTGATCATGCACTCTAACTGGGGAAGGTCTTTCACAGGTGGCTTCTACCATGGCTTCTTCATACATTATTTCAACTTTCTACCACTAGTCAGTTCTCCAAGATCAAGGGGTCACATTCCCTGTCTCTGGCTCTGTGGGGGAGGGGGGCATTGGACCTTCTCACCTCCATTTCAGATTCTGACTGTCCATCAGGGGCATTCATCTCTGCCCACAGGCATCTTCCTCCTCTATGTCCCTTTCTCCACCTTCTATGGCCTCGTGTCCACAGGACACAGGGTGATATATGTACTAGTGTTCTGTGGCCCCTATCTGGATTCTCTCCAGATCCTCCTTGACATCACTTCCTCTGGTTCCTCATCTGTACACAACTGTGAGCACTCCAGGAGACCACATTGCTGCATGGAGCCCCTGGTCTCACTGACCCTCCTTCTGCATCATGCATGCTCAGAGATAAGAACACACTTCAAACCTACAGCATGGTCCTTGAGACCTGTTTCTCACCTCCCTTGGTCCCACAGTTGCCTTCTACTGGGGACTTCAACTAGACATATCCAGAGAGCTTGGATTCCACCTTAGTGGCTGCCTTCTGGCCTTGCTACCCTCAAGACAGATTACTGAGGGAGACTGAGGCACTGTGAGCCTGTGCTGGGTACTCACCGTTGTTCTGTGTCTGCCAGACGGCATCTGCCATTCCCCACAGGCCAGGAAGGATAAAGAAGACAGGTAGATGAGCCGGGTTTGGGTGCCACAGGAGGAGGGCGATAAAGCAGGAGAAGTGGATGACAGCACCTGGTCAGAGGAAGCAAGACAGGACAGTGGGTGGCTGTTGCCTCTGCTTCAGGTGGCCAGGGCCTCAAGCAGCCTGTGTTGGGGACCATCTGTACCCATGTGCTTCCAGACTTTCTAACACTTTCCTGCAGTGCACAGACACAAGGTGGTGCAGAGAAAACACAGGTGTGTGAGTGTGTGACTGACTCTAAGGGGGGGGGGCCCTCTGGACCATGGGGACCTACAGGGCCCACAGTCTTAGGGGGCTCTGGGCTGTGGAACCCCAGCCTGTGGCTGGGGGACCAGCAGGTTGTCTCCCAACAGTGTGAGCTAGGCTTCTAAAGAGTATGGGGTGGAGGAGGGAAGACCAGGAGAACCCCGAACAGTGATATCTGGGCTTGTTCCTTGGGGCACGACTTCTGTGGCAGATCTCGGTGAGGCAGAACATGTACTTCCTTGTTGTGGAATAGAGTATTTGTTTAACTATGTAAAGGTGTATTGCATTTGTTTATGCTGCATTTGTTTAACTATGTAAAGATGTGTTGCTGATTTACCTGGCCTGCCTAAGGCACATGATTGGTCTAATAAAAAGCTGAATGGCCAAGAGCAAGGCTGAAGAGGGATCAGCAGGGCTGGTAGGAAAGAGAAAAGAGGAGCTGGCCAGATGGTCAGCTGGGGGCCAGACAGTCAGACATGGAGGAAGCAGGAAAGTAGGACATACATAATGAAAGAAAGGTGAAAAGCTCTGAGGTAAAACAGATGATCAGAAACAGGTTTAATTAAGTTTAAGAAGCTAGCCAGAAACAAGCCTAAGCTAAGGCCAAACATTCATAAATTAATAATTCATCTCCATGTCATAATTTGGGGGTTGGCCGTCCAAGAAATCCAGCTACACTTCCTCTTGTTGGAGGAAGGAAAGGGGTGGTAGGGGGCACAGGGAGGGCAGCAGGAGGGCAGGAAAGCATGCCACCTACAGGGCTTCCCTTTTCTAGGCTCTTCCACAGCCCTCACTGCCCTGTGTGTGCTTCTTTACATAGTACCCTGAGCACAGGCTCACTGGTGTGTCTACTTACCCAGCACGAAGAGTGCAGCCCTGCCCGTGTATTTGGAGATCTTCCCATACAGCAGGGAGCACAGTGAGGAGGCACCTGAGAAGCAGATCATCACGTAGCCCACAAAATGGATTCCCAGGGCACAGGTAGCAAAAGACTAGGGACAAGCATAGAGCTGCATTACTGGTGTGTATAGGTCTCACTATGGCTTCAGTCTGCAGCTGCCGTGTTGACATGCTGATGTGGCCCAGGAACTGCCTCTCCCAGCCTAGGAGGGCAACACTGGTATGTAGGAGAGAGTCTACTTTGGACCGGAATGGACAGACATCTTGGCAAACCCCTTCCTACACATTCTTTTCCATAGGTGTGATACACTATTTTACAGAGTGTTAACAAGGACATTGACATATCTCGTCATTTTCTCTTAGGCCTAAGGACAGGTGAGGGAAATGGAACCTCCATAGATGGCTAGGGAGGCCACTGGGCAGCCTCAACACTTGGCCTCCATTACTGGCAGAATCGAGGACACTTGGTGAAGACCCTTGGATGAAAGGCTGGGGACAGGAGGATGGCTGCCTTGGCATAGCTGGCTGAGGCTAGAATGACATGATGTCTGATGGGAAGGGAGACCCACTGTGGGGCATTTACCCAACCACCCCCACAGTTCCCCAGAGTTTTCTTGAGTGTGAGCAGCAGGAAATATTAGATAGAAGGATTTATTGCGGAGAATATCGCGGAGATAAACAGATAGAAAATAAAGGATAGCCTCGAGAGGGCCTGGAACCTATTCCAACGGGCCCCGACTGTCTCTGCCCCAGGGTTTTTATAGAGACGCCAAGGGGTGGAGCAAAAGACCTCCTCCCCCAGCACAGCCAAGTGCAGACCATCCCAGACACCTGCACTCAGGCCCGTGGTCCTAATCATCCTCTATGCGGACCTGCTGGGTAAAGTCACGAGGAACCTGAGAATGGGCTCCCACAACCCATGCAAATCACCGAGGTGTTCTGGACGTTCCCTTTTGAATCTGTTAAAACCGTCTTAAGAATGGTGCTGCTGATATCACACCTGGCTCCAAAGCACCACAAGGAAAGACAACGACCTGGTGCCTGTCGGCCAGCCAGCCACAGAGCACAGTGGTGATGAGGAAAAGAGGATGAAGATGATAAGGACATGAGTAGATGGACATTTCCTGTCCCAACTGCCCTGTCCCAAATAACCGACTCAAAGGCTGGATATGAACTATAAATGATGGGCCAATAGCTCAGGCTTGTAACTAGCTAACTCTTACACTTAAATTAACCCATATTCCTTATTTACACTCTGCCACGTGGAGGTACCTTTAGTAGCATGGCATTTCGTCTCCTGCTCCCTCTGCGCCTAGCTGGCGACTCTGGACTCCACCCTTCTCCTTCCCAGCATTCTCAGTTTTGCTTCCCTGCCTAACTTTATCCTGTTTAGCTACTGGCCAGTCAGCTTCTTTATTAACCCAATCACAGCAACAAATATTTACAGTGTACCACAGGATGATTCATTCCGTAGCAGACATGCAGGACATGGATGAGGGGAATGACTGCAATGAGCCACCTGATGATGGAGAGTACATGAATGGGATGAGAACCAGTGGGGGATCTAGACAGACAAGCACAGGAGGCCAGGGTGATTCCAGGCCACCCCAACCTCTCTTGCATCCACAGCCTCAGCCCCTCAGCCTGCAGAATGTGGCTGCGATATCTGAAGCTTTCCCTTGAGTTTCCTCAGCTGCTGCCAAGACACAGTCTCCTTGGGCCCTCCCAGGCCAGCCCATCCCTCCTTCCTGGGTGGTACCTCACTCCTTGGTTGCCAGGGTTGGTTCCTTTCTAACCTTTAATAAAAATGCAAGACTGAGCCGGGCGGTGGTGGCGCACGCCTTTAATCCCAGCACTTGGGAGGCAGAGGTAGGTGGATCTCTGTGAGTTCGAGGCCAGCCTGGTCTACAGAGTGAGTTCCAGGAAAGGTGCAAAGCTACACAGAGAAACCCTGTCTCAGAAAAAAAAAAAAAAAGAAGAAGATGCAAGACTGATTCCTGTCCCCCTCACCCAACCCCCAAAGGGTGGTACTGCTAGATAAACCCAGGACACTTAAATATTGCACAGGGCACACTTGTCCAGAGATAACTGCAGTTTATGGGAAATTGGGTTAGGTTGGATGGCTACTGTGTGCTCTGCTGTTCTGGAGCACTACCCCTGGCGGAAGGACGAGGTAGAAATTTTCCTAGTGTGAGGACAGTGCAAGGTTTAAAGGTAGGACTGGGGAACGCCCTGCCTCCTCATCTGCCCTAAGATCACCATGAGCCAGTGTATACTAGAGTCTCACCCAGGAGAGAACTCCCTCCTTTCCATAGCACCAGGATTCCTCAGAAAGACAGAGCCTGGGGACGGGCCCCCAGTAGAAGACAGTAGTTGTGATTGTATCAGTCACTAGAGAACGGCCCACTCTATGTGTCCCTGTAGCCCGTGTTGCCCCACATGGAAAGGACTTCTGTGAGCACAGAAAAGTGTAGAAGTCCAAGAGCCGAGACTGGCAAGGCACACGGTTTCTAGACTGGGATACACCGTGTGAAAGCGGGCACGGGAAGGAATTTCAACACTACTACTCGAGGGTTTAATATCTTCCCTTATTATTTAACAGCAGTGAGAATACAGGGTTAGCAGAATGGACATGAGTGTTACACACAGCTGCTAACAGCTGCCTCCCACCAGCCTTGCCCTTCGTAGGGAAGACACTGGCCAGTAGGAAGCCCTCCCTTCAGCTGAGAAGTTAGAGACAGGTGCCTCAAATCCAAGACTCAGCCACTGTAGAACTGGGAACCCGATCCCACTCAAGGGCCCCTGGGCCCCTGGTCTTGGAACACCCTCAGGTCCCTTTAGGTAGGGCACGGGTACACAGCCCTGGGCTGCTTTCTCTCCTACCTTTGTGTACTCTCCATAGATGAACCCTTGGTTCATCCCACTGTACAGCGGCAGGAGGATCAGGAAGCACAGACGCTTGTCATTTTTAAACAGCATGAAGGTGGCCAGTAAAGCCGACCGGAGAGGTGGGGATCTGGACCCTGCCTCTCCCTCATTCTCCATTCTTTCTTCCACAGACTCGAGAAACACGATCAACAGTAGGATAGCCAGGATACTGCTGCCTAGAAGGACACACAGACAGGTGTCGGTGCTGCCGGGGTCAGGCGTGCCCCACCCCTCATTTCCATGGACCATGTATGTGTTAGGTCTACAGTAAACCCGCCACAGTGGGTCAGCACTGCTGTCACCCAGAGAGGAATCGCATGCTTTTAAAGAAGATTAAAAACAAAAGTCCCCCAAGACAAGACAATGAGAGGCAAGCAGAGCGGTGTGTCAGTTGAAGAGGCGCGTGGAAATCTATCCGTGCACTAAACACCCTGAAGGCCCCGGCAGACATATGCTGTCTGGGGACAGGCTTTGGAGAGGGGTGTGTTTTGAGGGACAATTAACAGAGGGCACCATGAGTCTTGGGACCTTTCACTGCATTTGTACTTTGAATGGTGTCAATGGGTTATCTGTGGGGGGGGAGGGGGGACAAAGAATCCCAAACTGTTCATTTGACCCTGAACATTCTTCACATCTAAAACGGCAAAATGCAATGAGCAAATGAATCTGTCTTTGCCATCTCCCCACCTCACCTCTCCAGTCACCTTCATCTCCCTGCACAGGAAACGGACATTTATGGGGGTGTTCGGGCTTCTACAGAGGTCCTCCTGTCCCCTAGTGATATGAGGTGCCTTTTGTGACGTCTTTTGAGCACTGCTATCCTACTTTCTGACAAGGGCAGTGTCCCCCAGGGATTGACAAGTCCAAACTCTGGGTGTGAGGTTCAGTGAGGGAGTGTGTGTCAGACTCCATCAGGACACTGTGGCCCAGCCTTACTGAACTGTGGGCTTGGTGAAGCCAGCTGTCTTGGTAAATGTTTACAAAGATGGTTCACCCAGTCTCAGCACCCATCATAGAAACCCCCCTCTTTAACACACTTACACCCAGAAAAGTCCAGATCTCTTCAAAGCTTTCTACAACTCAGCCGCTTTCCCTCCCTAAACACACCCCCTCCAGCATCACTTTTAATGCAACATTTCAGTGTTGCTTATTAGGTGCTCATGAGGCTGGACAGCTCTTGCCAGGGGCCTGTGGATGTGCCCCCTCCACTGTGAAAGAACCACAAGGCCTCAAGTGAGGAGTCATTGAATCGCAATGACCCTTTACATGAACAGGTATCTGGACATGGGGAGTACAATGTGTCTTCTTTCCAACCATCCCAGTGTTGGCTGGGAGTAAATATTAGAAAACGCATGTCTCTTCTTCACCACCATCAGGTGGGCAGCTCCTTCTCTGTGGCCTACCCTGCAGCAAAAGACTTCAAGTTTGGAGAGGTCTAAAGAACACCATCTCTAATAAGAAGCAGTGAGAGCCTGTGAGTGGAGGGTCTTGGTCTCAGAAGTCACATCCTCTACTCAGAGGTGTGTGTATCCAATGCCAAGTGGCCCTTGACCTTCCAAGGCATGAACTGGTGTCCTGGAACTGAGACACTGCATTCTAAAAACAGACTCCAAAAAACATCATTATGAATGCAACACTTAGAGCCCTCGACAATCACTCCAGGGAGACGGCACTAGGGGCATTATTGCCCATTTTGGCCTTTCTTGTTTATGGTGACATGCTCGAAAGAGAGTCATAGCAGATTTCCAGGTATCAGAATAAGACAACGTCTCCTCCACCTAGCCTGGGGCACAGTCTCCTTGCCAAGCCCCTTGACCTGCTACTTAGAGGACAGAATTCTCCAGGCATATATAGTTCTATTGAACAGCATTGATGAATCATATTCATTGGTGCTATCTGTGGGTTCCCACACACACACACACACACACTTCAAAGACAACAGGGAGTGAGGTAATGAGATCACCTGACGCACAAAGCCTGGATTATCTACTGCCTGATGCGGCCTACCAGAAAGAGTACCCCTCCAGCTGACGAGCACTGCCATTTCACACACCCAGGTTCTCTGCGGCTGTCTAGACATGGTGGAGAGGAGACAGGGAAACCATTTTAGCCCAGTACTTTCCACAGGCGTCTGGCCTCCCCGCTGCAGAAAGGGGATGGGGTGGATGCTGAGAAACCACAAGCCAGGTGACCCCTTGTTGTCCCCACCACCACATGAATGTAAACAGGACATTGAATGAACAAATGTCTAGGTCACAGATGATCAAGGACAGCGGTAACACAGAAGTTTCCCGGGATACCTCCCTGGCCCCCACTTTTCACATCCTCCTTTGAGAACTGTGCGCCCTCACCGTGCGTGGTTACAGGTGGCTTTGTTGGACAGCACTGGCTCCGGAATTTGCTTTCAGGTCAGCCATTGAGACGGCCCAGCCCTACCACGGGCAGGGCTTTTGCTTTCTTTATTAAAGGGCAGACACAAACATAGTCCCTCACTACCACAAATTATACACTGTGTTCCCTACACTTGGGGAGATCACAGGCACCAACATATCCAGAGTGCAATGGACAAGCACTACCCTGGGAAAACCACCTTCCTGATCATGGCATCATTTCTGCCAGGGAAGTATGGCAGGGGTCTCTATGGAGAAAGTTCATTTATGGGCTGGAGGAGAGGGACCTTTACCACAGGGAGAGGTTGGGCATTTGTACATACCATTGAATATGCTCAGCAGGGTGTAGATCAGTTGCTTGGAGGGTTTAGAGGTGTTATTGGAAGCCACGGTCGCCATCAGGCAGTCTTTGGCTCCACAGGACTGGAGCTGGGAATCTGGGATGGTCACTAAGGAGGTCGAAATCAAGAAGACAAGGTGAGAATTCTAGTGACTACGTGGGATACCTGAGGCCAAAGTCAGCAGTGAAAGCATGGTCACCTGGGACAGGTGACTTCATGTCTTTCCTGTTTCAGAAAGTGAGTGCTAACTCTTTTATTGGTTAAAAAACATTGAGTGTAGGGCGGGAGAGATGGTCCAGCAGTTAGCACTGGCTGTTCTAGTAGGGGGTCCAGGTTTAGTTCCTAACGCCCAGCACTGGTTCACAATTGTGTGTAACTCCAGCTCCAGAGAATCTAATGCCCTCTCTGGCATCTGCACGTACTACTTTCACATGGGGCATAGACATACATGCAGGGGGAACACCTGTACTCATAAAATAAAAATAAATATATATGGAGAGAGGAGGTTGGTTTGGTGGTTAATACCTCCCCAACGTGTCACACACACACACACACACACAGTTGGAACTACTGTTATGGTTAATGTTGTCAGCTTGCCAGGAGCTAGAGTCACATAGGAGACAGCCTCTGGGCACATCTGTGAGGTGTGAGGGACTATTATCTGGGATAGATTAATCTCTGGGCATGCCATTGGAGGATTATCTTACTACTCAGGGAATGAGTAGTGGTCTGGCTGTATCTAAGAGCAGCCCACGTCCCTTTACCTGCTGTGACAGAGACTGGGTTTGATATCAGTCTCTGCAGCTTCTTTGGCTGAGTGGTAGTGATTGTGAACAAGACCACATGCGTGGCCCAGTGTCTTTCCTGCCTTGGACACACTGTCACCATGAAGGGAAGAAGATTGGTGACTTCTGAGCTTCTGTCAGCATGTGGCCTGGGAGAAGCCAGACACATGGCCAGAGTGGAGGGAGAAAAACCAACCTACTCCAGAGCTGTCACTTCTGGAAAGCTCTGCTGTAAGAATGGAAGACTAAAGTCCTCTAGCCTGGGGGTGGCATGAAGTGGGTGCTGGCTCTGACCCTGGGTGGGTGGGGTTGAGGGAAGACAGACATGGAGCATTCCCCCAGTTATGGGATAAGGGGTCTGACAGATGGTTTTAACACTGGCTTGTGGGTCAGTTTTATAGGGAAATAAGCCACGTAAATTCTCAGCAACTCAGGACCCACATTACACTAGCAAGAGTTGCTGAGTGCTCAGTTCCCCCATGACACCTTTTCCCGAGGGGTTCCCCAACCTCCACAGGGTACCTGTGGAAAAGACAGCTACTTAGCCTCCTGACTGTCCCCAGACTGGCAGGACCACCTGCCTCCACAGTAAGGTCAGGTATATAGGTGGAATTGGGACCTCACTTTGCTCTCATGGAGACCTAACTATTACCAAGGTCACTCAGCCCTCACTCTTTACCATGAGTGGGCGTCTGGCTGAATACCAGTGAGGAAATCAGGTTGCCCCATACTCCAGAAGATTGGAATATAAGAAAGAAGACACCAAAGTACTGGTTCACCACATCCTTGCCAAACTTCCCCTCTTTCTTCGCTTGCAAATTTCCCACGATGGTGATGTAGGTACACTGAGATGCCCACAGAGGAGCTGCACCCAGGCCCAGCAAGGTGGAGGTGGGGATCAGGGTGTACCTGCAAAAAGACCCAGCAGAATAGAGGAAGGGATCAGGGTGCGTCCACACAGAGGCCCAACAGGATGGAGTGGGATCAGGGTGTGCCCAAAGAAGCCAGTGTAATCCCCTCTCAAAAGCTGAGGGTACAGGGAATGGATATTTGTCCCTTGCTGGCTGAATCTCCCTGAGAATCACCAGACTCTCTAACCATTAGGGCCTTGAGGATGTGTATGTCTATGTGTGTGTGTGTGGGGGGGGGGGGGTGAGTGAGGAGAGATTCCCAAGAAGAGGTACGCTCTGGGATTGGGAGCATGAGAAGAAGCCAGCAGGGACACGGGAAAGACAGAGAGGGTGTCATAACACTGTCCCTCTATAGAAGCTCAGAGGACAGGGGTCTGCATGAGTGCTTAGGGCACACACACTAAGGGGGGGCTGGCGGGGGTGGGGGAGGGGCTGTACCAGTTGGCGTAGAAGTTGGCCAAGGAGAAGGTCAAGTAGCAGCTCATGGAGCCCACCATGGTCCACTTGCAGCCAAACTTCTTGATGAGGAGAGGTGAGAGGAACATGGAGGAGAGCATCATACTACAGTAGATGGTGCTGAGTGTCGCCACCCCCAGGCCCTCCTCACTGTAGAGGCTGCTCTGTAGAAGACAGACCAGCGTTCAGAGGAGGGGACAGTTGAAGGGACTGCGTGGGGTGAGGAACCAAGGTATGATTGGGTGCTGGGCCCAGGTTCAGGGCCCCCTGAGCCACCCTGATGCCAGCCTTCTTAAACAAGGACACTGCAGTCTCAAGGCAAATGAAGCCAGCTTCAGGGCCAGGCTACCAGGGCGGAGGCATGCAGGGCTCAGAAATGGTCACGGTGAGGCCTTCGGCTGGACTTGTGCTTCCAGCCTCAAGGTTAAGGTGGGAGGAATCCATAGTGGAGCTGCAGGGAAGACCTGCTCGGAGCAGAGACAGTGCCCGCCGTCCGGAGCCCTGCGCTGTACCGCAATTTGTGGTTATTCCACAGGAGTACCTGGCATGCCGCTGATGTGAACTGACCCAAAGGTCAAATCCCTAACCAGACCCAGACAGCTCAAGGGCCACTACTGCTGGACTTTGTGGTCCAAGAAACCAGCAGAACCCCGTCTTCTTCTGTCATCTGTAAGAGAAGGTGAATGAGAGGAGGAGGAAGGGGGGAGGAAGAGGAGGAGGAAGGAAAAGAGGAAGAAAGTCCAGGAAGAGGGGGAGGAGCAGGAGGGAGGAAGAGGAAGGGAGGAATGAGGAGGAGGAAGGGGAAAAGGAGGAGGAGGGGGAGGAGGAGAAGGAGGTAGAGGAGAAAGAGGAAGTAGAGGAGAAAGAGGAAGGGGAGGGGAAAGAAGATGGAGGAAGAGGAGAAGGGAGAATAGCAAGAAGAGGGGGAACAAGAGGAGGGAGGGAGGGGGAGGAGCAAACAGGAGGAAAGAGAGGAGGGAGAGGAGGAGAGGGGAGGAGTGGAAGAGAGTGACAGAGATGCACCCCCCCCGCCGCCCCCGCATCGTCCTCCTGTCCTTCCCACGTCCTGCACCCACACATGGCTCAGCTGCGCCCAACAGACGCTGTGGCTTGCTCTAGCCAGTCCCTAAAATCCCTACAATCTGTGTAAAAGACGGAGTCGAGCACCTTCACCTGAAGTGGGGTTGCCTGGGTACTTGGTGTTTATTGAGCAGCTAGAAACATGGTCCAGCCTGGCCCTTTTAGAAAGCGTTTTGGACTGGGCACCTCTCGCTCACAGCAGTGAGCTTGCCTGCTTTGCAAGTCTAGTGAAACCCTGAGCGCACTGGTCAGTGTTGGGATTTCCCTATCACCCACATTACTGCAGTAAACGAGGGAGCGATATTTGTGACCGACAACTGCTTTTGACTGTAGACCACTGAAAAGGAAGACGGGCATCGATATTTAAGTAGAGCCAGAATTTTAGCGCTAATGGCTCTTTCCGCATGAATGCCTACACTCAAGTACCTGGGCTGGCATGTGCTGGACGAGCTCATCTGTGTAACAGACACACAAAGGCAAGTATCTGCAGACTGCACAGAGTAGACCTAATTACATAAGTGTGCCACAGTCCCCCAGTCAGGCCAAGGAAAGGCTTGGAAGTACTTTCCACTGGAGGGCTGTGCAAGACTGTGGAGACACAAACGTCAAAGCATCCACCACCTTCAGCTGGTGAACACACAGGAGCTGTCAGCAACCACCGCGCGGGCATCAGCACTGAGCGGGTGCTGCTGGTACTACACAAAACCCTGTCTGAAAAGAAAAGAAAGGAAAAAAAGAATGGAAGGACAGCAGGAAGGAAGGAGGGAGGGAGGGTGGGTGGGTGGATAGATGGATGAACCAATGGATGGACAGACAGACAAGACCGATATCCCACTTTTCCTGTATTTACCACAGGAAAAATTGTCAAATCCTCCTCAGGCCAAGGGGTTCAGGCCCACATGACCTAATGCCCAAGACCCCCAAGCCCAGCAGCCTCTTGGAGGTAGCTGCTTGGTTTTCATGCAGACTCAAGCAAAAAGGATTCCATAACGGTTCAAAATGCAGATGATTTTGTCAAAGTTCATGGTTTTGCTTAAAGCTTTTTGTAAGGTCAAGTAAGAATTCACAAACATTTCTGCCCAACCACAAAGCACCTAAAACCCACAGTAGTTTCCTTTATCTCTTTTTAACCCCTCAAAGGCAAAGTGCCCTCCTGCTTGCCCCAGGGTCACATACACCTGAGCTCTGGTGTCACTCTGGGGGAACAAGACAGAATCTTGTAGGGCTTCATTTGAAAAAAAAAAAAAAAAGAATTGTTCCAGGGAGTGTGGGCATGTGTGGGGTGTGCTGAGGTGAACTGGAGAACATGACGTGTAAATCTCACCTGCAGATTCTGCAGGCCTCCAAAGGCCGTGAAGTTAAGGAAGAATCCAAAAGAAACCACCAGGATATTCCATAAGTTCTTCTCCATTATGCAGATAGATGTGTCACCACCAGTGGATGTCAGTGAATGAGCATGCTTGTACTTCCCTAAAAGAAACCAATTGGAGCATAAGACATGGAGTCCGTACCAAGAGGTGATGGGTGATGTCGTTCTGTATGCTATGAACATGTGTTGCTCTGATTGGTTGATAAAGCTGTTTGGTCAACGGTGAAGCAGAATAAGGTCAGGCAGGACACTCTAAAGAGAGAGGAAGAAAGAAAGAGAGAGCAGAGGAGACACTGCTAGCCACCACCAAGAGAAGCAAGATGTAAAAGTACCGGTAAGCCACAAGCCATGTGGCAAAGTATAGATTTATAGAAATTTAATTTAAGATATAAGAGCTAGCTAGCAAGAAGCCTGCCATGGCCATATTTTAAAAATAATATAAGCCTCTGTGTGTTCACTTGGGTCTGAGTGGTTGCAGGACCAGGCGGGACATAGGAATTTTATAAGTGGCTGTGAGGCCTTGGTGCCAGGTGAGCACAGGGAAACTTCCAGCTATAAAGAGGTCCCATTGTCTCTGAGTTGAAGGATGGCCACCAAAGCTGTGGATATTCAATGTGCTAGCATTTGCAGGCCCTAGTCCACGTTACACTTGTTCTCTGGGAAAAGATCATGACTCCACCAATCAGCTCCTCTGCAATTGTTTTCCTATTCCTTTCAGATAGGAATATCACATCTTGTGTACCTTTGATAGTAACTCCCATGTCTAGAGAAATTGCCAGTGGTGCAGAATGTGGACAGTTCTTCTGTCCTAAAGAACAAAGCAGGTAGCACATGCCTTTAATCAGGAGGCAGAGGCAGGCAGATCTCCATGAGTTCGAGGCCAGCCTGATCTACAGAGTGAGTTCCAGGACAGCCAGGGCTAAACAGAGAAACCCTGTCTCGAAAAACAACAACAACAACAAAAACAAAGCAAAAAGCATCAACTTTTAGATGCCTCATCCAACTTCTGAAAAATATTTAATGTGATAAGATCCCAGGGCCAAAGACTTAGTGCAGAGACGTAATTTCGCAATGTTGCAATGATGTTTTAAGTGATGAATATGGTACTTCATTACATGTAGAGAACAATTTTACATGTACCATTTCGTATGTAATAATTAGCATTTGCAATCTTGGATCCGTCATAAGACAGCCAAGCCCAGGATTTCAGCCCAGAGCCGAGCTGGTTGATTCAGCAGCTGCCAGTCATGTGCGGCCACTGAGTTCTTAAGATACAGCTGCCACTTACTGTGGGACTGAATTTGAACTTCACATAGCTAATTAACATTAAAAATTCACGTGGGCACTTGTTGAACAGGCTTGGTCCAGAGTGTCAAACAGTGTTCTACACACTGTACACAAGACAAATAGACACTCCATGCTGAGCACGGTGCCACACACCTCTAATCCTGGTACTCTGGAGGCAGAGGCAGGCACATTTCTGTGAGCTTGAGGCCGGCCTGGTTCACGTAGAGTTCCAGGACAACCAAAGCTTCATAGTGAGACCTTGTCTCCCAAAAGCATCCTTCTACCCAGTTGTTAGTAAATTTAGCTTATTGCTTTTAGACTGTTCCCCAAGTGCTGTGTCCTTGGTCATTTCTGCCAAGTATGGACCAAGCAAGTGAATCTTACAGCCTTGGTAACTGACATGACCACCAATAATGGAGAGAAGGCTCTTGTTGCTTAACTGGTCCCTATGAAAAGAAAAGCTTTGTGGGATACAAGGTTTTAAATATTCACTGAACGTGGGTTATTATGCTGGTAACAGACATGAGAGCAACATTTGACTAGCAAGATATTCTAATGTGGGGTTAGGGGGGGACAAGACTACCCAGTCAGTGAAGCATTAGGACCTGAGTCTGATCCCCAACCCAAGTAAAAGTACCAGGCATGGTGGTGTGTCCTTGTAATACCAGGGCTTGGGAGGTGGAAAGAGGACACAGAATCCTTGGGACTCACTGACCGGCCAGTCTAGCCTAATTGGTAAGCTGCAGGCCAATGAGAGAGCCTGTAGACAGCATGCCTGAGGACGACATTGGAAGTTGGCCTCTAGTTTCTGCATGCCAGTCCACCTGTGCACACGTGAGCACACACACATGCTTTTAAAAAGTGTTCTAACCCTGGAAACAGTCTGGCACCATCATCCGAGCCCTGACACATCTTTAGTCTCTAAACTTCAGTTTCCTCTTGAAAAGGGAAGCTGTGAAAGTTCAAGAGACTAAAGGTGCAGAGAGCCCTGGGACCGCCCTAAATCATAGTAACCATCAGCAAATGACCATAAGACAAGACGAGCTAGAGTACTCTATCTTTATATGTAATACTTAGCGTCACATGGACTATTGCATGCTAACCTTGCTACCAGTTAATGAACTTTTAACTTCATTTAATGACTTCTGTTTAGTTTTTTGGAGATGTTTTAGTAGGCTTCAGTTTCATCATCCTGTCTATAATTACCCAAAATGACTTGTGTGTGATGGGAGAACTCCTGGTGTTTTCTTTTTCTTTTAATTTTTTTTTCTCCATTAGTTTCTCAAACTTACCAGGACTATGTTCTGGGTTGGCAATTGGCCCTGGAAGCAACTTCTAATAGCTGCTGTCTCAGCTCCTCATAGTCCTTCTACATCTTCCAGGGACCTCAGTGTCTATGAAAATCCCCCAAGTTTCCCTTTGGCAATTCAGATCCAATGTCCTTTGAGCTGCTCTCCTAGTTGGGAATTGGTTGGTGACATCAATGTTTCATCATGTCTTTCCCCGAGTATTGTCGTTTATGCCAAGGGGGAATGTTGAAAATGGGAAACACTGAAGTCTGGGAGAGATGTTTTCCAAGCGATGTCTAAAGCATCCCCCAATCTCTAATGTGAAAATGAGTTTTAGATGTAATCTTCTCACGGCCAAAATAAAGGATGCTCTTAACGGTTCCAGATCCTGACTCCTGCCTGGACTGACTGACACATCCCTGCAGACCTATCTTGGATGGGAGGAGAGAATAGCAAGCTCCATACCTGGAAGCTGATCTGACCCTGAAAGAGAACCAGACCACGGCCAAGCTCCCAAGGTAAGGCACTCAGACAGGGATGGTACAAGTTATCGGGCATCACACTGCCTTTCAGTTAGCATCTGTCTTAGGGTTTCCACTATGGTGATAAAACACCATGACCAAAAGCAATTTGGGGAGCATAGAGGTTTGAATAAGAATGGCCCCCATAGGCACATAGATTTGAATGCTTAGTCATCAGGGAGTGGCACTACTTGAGGAGGATTAGGAGCTGGCCTTGTTGGAGGAAGTGTGCCACTGGGGATGGGCTTTGAGGTTTCAAAAGCCCAAGCCAGGCCCAGTATCTCTACTTGTGCTTGCTGATCCAGAGGTAGAACTCTCAGTTACTTCTCCAGCACCGTGTCTGCCTGCATGCCGTCGTGCTTCCTGCCATGATGATAGTGGACTGACCCTCTGACACTGTTAGCCAGACCAGACGCTTTCTTTTATAAAAGTTACTGTGGTCATGATGTCTCTTCACAGCAATAAAACTCTGACTGAGAGGGGAGGAAAAGGTCCAGTTCGTCTTGCAACTCTTGGGTCATGCCGGGCGGTGGTAGCGCACGCCGTTAATCCCAGCACTCGGGAGGCAGAGCCAGGCGGATCTCTGTGAGTTCGAGGCCAGCCTGGGCTACAGAGTGAGTTCCAGGAAAGGCTCCAAAGGTACACAGAGAAACCCTGTCTCAAAAAACAAAAAAAGAAAAAGAAAAAAAAACAACTCTTGGGTCACACTTCACCAATGAGGGAAGTCGGACCAGGAATTCAACACAGGAACCTAGAGGTAGGAGCTGAAGCAAAGGCCACAGAGGAACACTGTTTGTTGTCTTGCTCTTTCTGACTTCCTCAGTTGGCTTTGCCAGCGGTGGTACCACTCCAGTGGGCTGGACACTCCCAAATCAATCACCAGTCAAGACCACACCCAACGCCTGTCCACAGGCCAGTCTTAGTCTTCTCAGTTAAGATTCCCCCTTCTCATATGACTCCAGCCTATGTCAAGTTGGGAAGCAGACCAATGAAACTGCAAGAACCAGAACAGCATCCACATGGGACTTAAGCCACGGTCTTAAAGATGTGCTCAGACATGAGATCTCTTAATGGAGAGTGAAGGAAGGACCCAGTGCTTCATGTGGACCTCAAGGAAGAAAAGCCTTTTAACCTCAGCATGCCAGTGGTAGAATTCCTAGCCACTCCCCCAGCTACATGACTGCACATGTACTGTCCAGTAGCCAGGCAAGATGCTTAGTCATCCTAGGGCCTTATGTGCTAGTCTGTGCTCTGTGTGATCATGTAATCTATGCGCATGCGTGGCACAGCTACGTAAACCCATATGAGCATGTGCGGGGGGAATCTATAAAAGTGGGTCCCCTTCCCCTTCCCCTCTCTTCCTGCATGATCTTTCCATAGGCCTAAGCACCCCCTTCTATTTCCTCCCCTTAATAAACTCTTATACTGGCTTTTCTTTCCTGATAAAACAGTGCCATTTAATAAATAACAGCCAGATGCCTCACCAGCCATCAGAGGCCACTGTTCTGCCACTGTTCTGGACTTTGAACTTGACCATCACTTTATTCAGTAAACTCTCTGCTGAGAAGCTAAAGATCACTCCTAATTTGAGGGAAGTCTATGCAATGGCTTGCTCTTTTAGGGATAGCATGCGTGTGAACAAGCTGCTCTCAGTTTTCTTGGCACTTATGTTTGAAATCTAAAAGCAGTACCAAATAAGTGTTCATTGATTCTATTAATTCCCTACAGGAAGATGAAACATGAATATTTAGAGGATGGCGATTACCGCCTCCTTTAGGAATTCTAGGGTTCTTATGCTCTAGGAATAAGCATACTCCATGCCTCCTCCTTTTCCCCTTACAATTTATATCAGTGCAACTGTAACCTGGGAAGAGGTTTCCTCTTAGTGTGTATTCCCAAGTGCCTGCAACCTCAGAGCTGACTGCCAACCCCACAATGTGTAGCAGCCTGGCTAAGCAAATGACCTTCTGAGTGAATGGGGAGCTTGC